TGAACGGTCAGCAGGGGAGGGCAGATTGCCAGTGGCCTCTACAGAGACTTAAAACGTCTCTGCAGGCCACTGTTAAAAGACAGTACAGGTGGGCGATTCTGGAGGGTGTCATCTTCAAGATCAACGATAAAAGAGAGAAGATAGATTCCACTTTTAAAGCTAAAGAGTTTTTGCGGTGCCAGCTGGGAACGGAGGAAGAGTCCAAGGAGGAAGAAACGAAATCTAGTGACTCTGCCATCTCTGGAATGGAAGAGGACTCCGCTGCAGAAATGGGTGCAAGTGCTGCTAGAGTTGTATACGATTTTAGAGACAGAAAGCCGAAGTAAAGGAAGAAGGACTCAGAAAATAGCCTTTTGAAGCTAAGAATAAGAAGATGATCAGAAAGTTCTCTCATAACAACTAACATATTAACATATAAACATTGAAGCTGAGATAAACAAGAACTCTACAAGTATATTGTGATACTCTACAAGTATATTGTGATATTAACCTCCTCTTGGGGTTTTAGTAGTGTGGTTATCTTTCCTTTATCCCTAGATGTAGTTCCCGTCCTGATATTTTCTTTGTAGTTTTGTAGTTTATTGAAAAATAAAAATACCCCTTTTGGGTTTAAAAAAAAAAAAAAAGACAGGATGCTGGACAAAATGGACCACTGGCCTCATCAAGCAGAGCTACTCCAACGTTCTACAGAAGGACCTCTTTAGGATTTGTCCCTATGTCCCTTACTTCCCGGAACAAAAGGTTAGGGTTAGGCAACTTACGGCAACCCCGTACGGTTTTCAAGGCAAGAGACGAACAGAGGTGGTTTGCTGTTGCCTGCCTCTACATAGCAACCCTGGTCTTCCTGGGTGTTCTCCCATCCAAGTACTAACCACGGCTGACCCTGCTTAGCTTCCGGGATCTGACGAGAACGGGCTAGCTTGGGCCATCCAGGTCAGGACAGAGATGCTCAGAGGTGGTTTGCCACGGCCTGCCTCTGTTTGGCAACCCTGGACTTCCTCAGTGGTCTTCTAACCAGGATCATCCCTGAGTAGCTTCTGAGATCTGATAAAATGAGGCCGCCCTGGGCCATCCAGGTTAGAAAAAGAAATGCTGAGCCTCAAACCTCTTTGGAGACAGCACACAGTCTGGTGACGTTTTGGGTGGGGCTTAATAAAAGGTAGTAAGACGTAGCCTTTGTTTCTGATATTTGCTTGAAGACCAACGAGACAACCTATGGTCTAAAAACTCTTCTGCAGCCCCCCACCTCATGTAAGGGGACTCCACAGTTACTCAGTAATGGAAAAAAAGCACTCTGTAGCCAATCAGGAGTATTTTCATCCATACACTGCAGGGCTGAATTATGGGGCTGCAAAGAGGCTAAGACCGAGTCCGCGTTTAGGCCCTGACCAGGGCCGGCTCACCCACTAGGTGAACTAGGCATTCGCCTAGAGCGCTGGGCCCTGGATGGGGCGGCGGGCCCTGGATGGGGTGCGGGGGAGGCTTCAAAAGCCCGTGCACCATTGCTGCTCTGCTCCTCTGGCAGCGCTGGTGCTGCTGGGCGAGCTGGCAGAGGGCGCGGCGGCTGAGGAGGTGAAAGGCGAGGCGGAGTGAAGGGCCAAGTACAGAGGGGGCGCCGAGGCGGGGAACCAGCGTGCCAAAGTTGCCTCAGCTGCTGCCTGCCAGGGGGCGCCCGGCTGCCTGGTTCGCCTCCTGCCACCGCCCTCCACTGTCCGACTGGCCTGGCTGCCGCCTTGCCACTCGCTTTTGTCTCGCCCCACCGCCACTGGCGGTGGCAGGAGGCAAACCAGGCAGAGGCTCTGAGGCAGCCAGAGACGCATCCAGGAGCTGGCTAGCTAGGCGGAGAGGAGCGCTCCGGGCGCGGGGTGACCAGGAAGTTTCCACTGCCCCTCCGGACCGCCCCCCGCCAGCACCAAAATCTTCCCCAGTCACAAAAAAGGGCTCCTTAAACCAGCTTGGGCCGCCACGCACGAAAGCCCGCTCCTCTGCTCGCCCCGCCGCTGGCTGCTTTTCCACAGCTCAGTTTGCTGCGCGGGCCTGGCTCTCTGGGGGGCAGGCCTGCGAGGAGGAAGAGGCGGGGGGGGGAGCCCCCCTGTGCCCACTTTTTTTTGGCCCACAAGGACAGTGGAAGATTCGGATGGGTGTGTGTGTGACCGCAGTAATCTCCCCCCCCCTCTGGCGTTCCTTGCCTTGTTCCCGTGAGAGGCACCAGGGAAGCAGCCACCCCCCATGTCACCTGAGAGTTGGGCTCCTCCCTTGCCCCCCTCCCAGGGATTGGAGGAAGGCCCCTCAGCCTTGCCCGGACCGCAACCTCCAGGCACCGGAGCCATTGGCAAGTACCACCGGGCCCTCCTGTAGCTCGGGGGGGGGAGAAGAAGGGGCCCGTGCACCCCGAGGGAAGCAGCCAAGGTGTGGTGTGCACTCCTTCTCCCCAGGCCCCACCTGGAGGTTGGCAACTCCATAATTGGTGGGCACAGGGGGGGCGCCAGAAGGTAGCCCCGCCTAGGGCTCAAAAAAACCTTGGACTGGCCCTGGCTCTAAGGCCTACACCAGATGGTGTGATTCTGGGCCGTGAGCAAAACTCCAGGATGGGCCCCCAAAATAACTGCCACCACCCCACCTCCCCACCACTCCTCCTGCTGGAGACAAGCAAGGGGCAACCCTCACCCTGTTTAAAGAGACTGGGAGCCTTTGCTAGTAGCTGGTGGCCCAAGACTTGGACAGAGTGGGCATGAGTGGTTGTCCTTGCAAGTACGCCAGCCCAAGCCCCGGACGAGGGTTTCCAGGTCCCTTTGAGATGCCGGCAGGGCGTTAAAGGGGACGTTCCAGGAGCAGGAAGCATCACCCCCCCATCTGCTGATGTCACAGGAAGTGACACAGGCAAATCAGGGGTGGCACTCTGGTTTTGGGGAACAACTCTATGATAAAATCACCCTAAAACTATAGAGTTTTACCCAAAAACCAGAACGATGCCCCTGGGGTAGGGGATTTCCTCCCGCTGGCCAGCTGTGGGCAGGAGACCGCTAAACCAGGGATCCCCCTCCCCCAACTAGGGACTGGCAACCCTACCCCAGACAGAACAGGTGTAAGTGACCACAGTGGGAGTCTGGTCTTTCCCCCCTTCCACCAGAGGGATGGAGCCATGGGCAATCGGACACCCACAGCACAGGACAGCTGACCCTACTGCCCTTTGGCTAAGACCACCCCTGGCCTACACACTTGGAAATCTGCTCCATTGAAACAATCCATGCCTATTACAATAATTCAGCACAAACCAGTCTATGCAGGCCTACCAGTGGGGAACCGGGCCCCACACTCCTCATCCACTATGCCAAACCACCACATCTCAGGCCTTCAGACAGAGACACCCCACCCCCCAGCTGAATGACTGCCTCCCCGTCACAAGCGTAGTATTCCCTGGCGGTCTCCCTTCCAAATCCTTATTGGGGACGACCCTGCTTAGCTTCTGAGATCTGACAGAGATCGGGCTAGCCTGGGCTCTATGCCACTGTTGCTCTTGTGCTCTTGACAAGAGCTTAAAATCAGTGCTCCCTCTAAGCTGTGGAGTCTTGTGACCAAAAATTCCACTTTGTGAGCTACTGGCATCAAAGTTGTGAGCGAGCGATTTGGCTACTGCATCAATTAGTTTGACCCGGAGACATCCTTCCTGAGCTAAGACAAAAATGTGTGAGCCGTAGGCTAAAAAAACTGTGAGCTAGCTCACACTAACTCGGCATAGAGGGAATACTGCTCTTAACAACTACGCCACTCTTGTGCTCTTGACAAGAGCTTAAAATCAGTGCTCCCTCTAAGCTGTGGAGTCTTGTGAACAAAAATTCCACTTTGTGAGCTACTGGCGTCAAAGTTGTGAGCGAGCAATTTGGCTACTGAATCAATTAGTTTGCCCCGGAGCCATCCTTCCTGAGCTAAGACAAAAATGTGTGAGCCGGAGGCTAAAAAAACTGTGAGCTAGCTCACACTGACTCAGCTTAGAGGGAACACTGCTCTTAACCACTACGCCACCGTGACTCTTGTGCTCTTGACAAGAGCTTAAAATCAGTGCTCCCTCTAAGCTGTGGAGTCTTGTGAATAAAAATTCCACTTTGCGAGCTACCGGCATTAAAGTCGTGAGCCAGCGATCTGGCTGCTGCATAAATCAGTTTGCTCTGGCAGCCATCCTTCCTGAGCTAGGACAAAAATGTGTGAGCTGGAGGCTAAAAAACTGTGAGCTAGCTCACACGCTCAGCTTAGAGGGAACACTGGTCAGGGCTTGCGTGCAAACTTACAGGGAAGCCAAATCGACCTCAGTCTTTAAGATGCCACCACGCCTCCTGTTTCTTTTTACTGCAACAGAAGGATCCCATGCAGAATAACACAGGAATTGAGAGGGGTGTGTGGAAAGCGCCCTCAAGTGACATCTGACTTATGGCAACCCTTTATGGGGTCTTCAAGGCAAGAGACATTCAGAGGTGGTTTGCCATTTCCTGCCTCCCAGTTATGACCCTGATATTCCTTGGTGGCCTCCTGTCCAAATACTGACCAGTGACACCCTGCTTAGCTTCCGAGATCTGACGAGATCTGACTAGCTTGGGCCACCCAGGTCACACTGAGTTTATCCCAACAACACTTATCCCAACATGCATTATCATCTACGGTTACCATAATTTGAAAAGCAAAAACAGAGGCCATATTTCCCAACTGACTACTTCAAACAAGAGATCCCAGTGACAAATCTCTTTTAAAATACCCCTAACTCCTATTTAAGCTAATCACAAGGAATATTCCTAACCTTCCAACCCCAAAAGAGGCCACTTTCATTAGTGTTTTTTTAAAAGCCCCAAAGAGGAGGGCCACCCAAAAAAGAAGGCCAGGTCCTCTAAAAAGTGGGCATCTGGTAACCTTATTATTACCATCCCTCCTCCATAGGCTCGCTGACCTCAGTGGGCCTCAGGCACAGGGCCGGGCTGCCCGGGCGGCCTTCGGAGGGCGCCGCCGCTCACCTTGTAGAGCGCGTAGTGCAGGTAGAGGTAAGGGGTGCGCCGCTGGAAGTCCCGCAGGGTCTCGGCCGGCGGGTAGCGGAGCTGGAAGGCGGGCAGGCCGCGCTTGCATCGCCGCAGGCAGGAGGCGCGCTGGAGGACGCGCCCGAAAAGGTCCATCTCCCGAAGCCACTCGTCCGCTGCGCCGCCGGACAGCAGCTCCCCGAGCGCCGCGCCC